TTGGGAGGTGATTAGCTGCCCCTGATTGTTTCTTGTCTGGAATTTCCCTGTTTTTGAGTGTTGTTCTTTATTTACTGTTTTAATTTTAGAAGTTTTTTTTATACTGGTAGCTAGATTTGGTTCATTTTCATGGTTTCCTCCTTTCTGTTGAAATTGTCCACATGCTTATGGATTTCAATTGCTTCTCTGTGTAGTCTGACATGGTGGTTGTTAGAGTGGTCCAGCATTTCTGTGTTCTCAAATAATATGCTGCATCCATGTTGGTCCATCAAGTGGTCTCCTAACAAAGGATTCCCCCGGGTGGTAAGCAGTCAGACTTTGAAGCAGAAAGGTCATTAAATGCTAATGAAGGTGGCCAATTCCAACATTCAAACCTGCCTCAAATAGACAAGGGTTGTTTCTCCCACTCCAAGCATTCCACAGATATATAAAGCTCACTTGCCTAGTTTCCAACAGACCTCACAACCTCTGAGGGTGCCTGCCATAGATGTAGGTGAAACATCAAGAGAGGATGCTTCTGGAACATGGCCATACAGCCCAGAAAACTCACAGCAACCTAGCCCTTCCAGCCATGAAAGCCTTCAACAATACAGAATTAAATATCCTTATCCTGCTACTTCTCATTTTGATGCCTTCTCCCCAGCAGGCTTTCAAATATTGTTGCATACAATTGAACAGAACTTTGGATTTTGAAGCATTTTAGATTTGTGTATAAGGTATTCCCAACCCAACCTGTATCTCAACCTCTTGGGATAGTGGCTCCAGCAGGTCAAGGTTTAAGTGCCAGTTCAGCTATGCAAATGCATTAGGTCACCTTGATGAAGTTCCACTCTCTCAGTCTAAGAGGAAAGCAATGGCAAACTTCCTAAGCATAAACCTTGCCAAGAAACTCTATGACAGGGGTGGGTTGCCATAAGTCAGCGTCGACCTGAAGGCATACAACAACAAAAAATTCAAATGCTTTAACTCCTGAAGGTACCACTGTTTCTATAAAATCCTTGGCTTTCTTCCAGTTCTTTTCACTGAACAGCAAGCTTCCCTTGCTGCCAACAATAAATGGGGTCAGTTGTATTATTCAACACTACAGTTACATTCTGCTCTTCTGCCAATGCAGTCTCCCGAGCTTGCATTAAAGATCCCTAAACAGATTGTATCAGAGCACTGTATCACTCTGTAAGTAAATTACTTGTCTCCCAACCAAAATATTAACAACATATCATGTCCCTTGTGAAATATGTATATTTAGCTTCTGTGTACTCTAAATCTTTGTTGAATAATCCTCAATTAATTGATATAGAACCCATGTAACTGCATTACCAAGCTTTTTCTTCTTATTAATAATCACAATGAATTTTCCTAAACAAATTCAAACAGACCTGAATATCATTTCTACCGTTATTTTTCCTTGCTTTTGCAGCACATTCAATTCATTCAATGTAAAAGTAACAAGGGGAGGGTGACCTACCAGTGTTAAAATAAAAACCAATTTTTATTACTACTACCCAGTTTCACTTACAGGCGTAAGTGCCATGAATTACTTGCTACATGGCAACACAAATGCTTTGCAGCCATTATTAAATCACTGTTAGATGAATAGTACTTGAGCTCTAGAGCATTAGTAAGGAAGGGCCACTTTGGGGCTGTCCGACAGAATTACTACTTGGCCACTTTATCAATATAGTATTGGTACCACTTATATATACTTAACTCAAAAGTGGCTACTAAGTATCTTACCATTTGATGTTAGAGAACTACACAAACAGGGCATTCATTCATTATAAGCGTTCAGCTCCTTGGAGTCAGCTAAACTCAAATTTCTTGCCAGCTACACTGTCCATACCATAAAGAAGAGGAGCGTTTATAAAAAGCACACATATCTTTTCAATAGTTTGTGCTAAGAAATGAGAAAAAATACTCAACTATGACTAGGTTTTATTCACTTGAGTTGCTGAAGTCCAAAGCCATACTTGAAAGCTGAGACTGCAATGAGTGTTGTTTACCAATGTAAGATTATGACGTGGCATACTTCAGTTAAACTTGGTTTGGGGATGATAGTGGGCCAACCTGAGCTCAGGCCCTCCCAATGGGGTACTGTGTATTGAATAGGTGAGGGAAAGTGGGAGGGGGTGGAGTAACTGTGGTCTAAAAAGACCCTCTTAACTTGGTCAGATTACCTACCAGGGAGCTGAATTGAGTATATGTACCTCAGTCTGAAAACCAGGGATAGACTGGAGATTCTGCTAGTGTACCACCTACCCCACTGCCTAACCGACTCCTTGGCCGAACTCACAGAACTGGTCTTGGAGGTATTGTTGGGATTGCCTGGGTTTTTGCTTCTGGGTGACTTCAACATACCACTGAAGGCCAATTTGTTAGGTGCTACTTGGGAGTTCATGGTATTCATGACAAACATGGGACTATCCCAATTGGTTTCTGAACTGACACATATAGTATTGATGAGATTTTCAGCTTGGAACATACTGATCTGTGGGTGGAGGTAACCAACAGCTCTGAATTGTCATGGACAGATCATTTTCTGGATAGTGTATTTGTTGAGTTACTGTGAGTTTTCTGGGCTGCATGGCCATGTTCCAGAAATATTCTCTCCTGACATTTTGCCCACATCTATGGCAGGCATCCTCAAAGGCTGTGAGGTATATTGGAAACTAGAAAAGGGTGGTTTATATATCTGTTGAAGGTCCAGGGTCTTCGGATGCTAAAGTCACTGCCAATAAGTTTCCAGGCAAGGTGTGAAGTATTGGTTTTGACCTTCAAATCCCCACATGGTTTGGGTCCAGGTTACCTACAGGATCGCCTTCTCCCATACAATCCAGCCAAAACATTTAGGTCCTATGGGGGGCAGCTACTCTAGCCTGCCAGAACCCAACTGGCAACCGTCACCCAGAGGACCTTTTCATCAGCTGCCCAAAGACTGTGGAAGGACCTGCTGGAAGAACAGCTAAATGAGCTGTCAAATTTAAAACACATCTGAAGACCTATGTCTTCCAGCAGACTTACCAGCAAGTTTTAATCATTAATTTTAAACACCCGTCTTGTGTCCACTATATTATATTCATTGTTCTATGTATTTTAATATATGTATGATATATTTTAATATGTGCATTTTATATAATGATTATGTGTTTTAACTATGTTGTAACCTGCCTTGACGCATGAGGAGAGGCAGATAAGAAATAAAATTGTTGTTGTTATTGTTGTTGTTTTCAGAAAACCACCCTCCCAAACTCTGAAAGAACACACATTGCTGCAGATTATCTCTGATCCCATTGCCTAGAGTGGCAGTGGCCTCTGACACTCATGCACTTTTAACACAACGGAGACAATTCCAACCGCATATAGATCAAAGTCTCCAATATACAGAAAACTTCTTATCAAATTTCTCTTCTTATGGAAAAAAAAATCATGTAATGGTACACATGCAGAGTCCTGACATACTTTGAACACATAACCACACATTAGCCATGTACCAGGAACATTTCAACCTTGTCACTCTTGTAGCCAGAGAAGACTTCCAGTGATCATTAGTTTAGTCTTCATCCTCAATTACTGTATTGTGTTCTTTGCTGTGGTTGTGATTACTCTTCAAAAACTTCCAAAGTGACAGAAACTAAGATGCAAGCACACTGCCAAGATGTTGTATGATTAGTAATTCATGCGGATCATATTAACATCTTATCATCTAGGGCAGGGATGTAGAACTCATGTTCACCAAGGGTCACATCAGCCTTATGGTTGCCTTTAAAGGACCATTTGTCACAGTAAGATAATATAAATGTAACCATATTGCTCTGGCATTGAAAGCCTCATGGGCCACATAAAATGACATGGTGGGCCAATTTTGGACCGTTGGCCTTGTGTTTGATACGTGTGATCTAGGGCCTAACATACTTCAGTTATCACTATGGATTGTTGTCATCTGTTGGGTAATGCAGAAGTGTTCACTTAAATTTACCAAATATGCATTCAAGCTTAATTGCAAAAGCATTTATAGAGAAATTCTGAAAAAAACCACTACATCATCCCCAGTCTCAGAGTGTTTTGAGAGTTTATTGGATGAAAGTTGTTGTGAACAGGACGGAGGCTTGCTTGCTTGTGTGCAGAAGATGAGAGAAAAATTCAAAGTGACCTTAACAGATTGCAAAATCTAACAAAATGAATTTCAACAGATAGAAATTTATCCTTAGGCAGAAAAAATGAAATGCACAGGATGGGGGATCCCAGGCTTGACAACAGTACTTGTGAAAGGAATTTAGAAGTCTTAGTAGACCACAAGTAACAGTGTGATGTGGCAGCTAAAAAAGTCAATGTGCATCAATAAGAGTATCAATAGGAGTACAGTGTCTAAATCAAGGAAAGTAAAAGTATTCCGCTTTGGTTAGACTTCACATGGAATATTGAATCTAGACACTGCAATTTAAGAAGTATATTGACAAGCTGAAATATATTCAAAGGAGGGCGACAAAAATGGTAAAATGTCGGGAAGCCATGATAGCTTTAAGAGCTTGATATGTTTAACTTGGAGAAGAGAAGGTTAAGAAGTGACAGGATGCCATGTTTATTTCAAATGATGTCATATTGAAGATGAAATAAGCTTATATTCTGCTGCTCAACTGATTAGGACAGGTAGCAGTGAATTGAAACTACAGGAAGAGATTCCACCTAAACATTAGGAAAACATTCCTGATAAGAGCTGTTTGATAGTGGAATATGCTGCTTTGGAGTGTACTAACGTTTCTTTCTCTGGAGGGGTTTAAACATGGGTTGGATGGTCATCTATTAGGAGTGCTTTGATTTTGTATTCCTGCAGTAAGCTCGATGGTCCTTTCCAATTCTATGAATCTATGATTCTACTACATGTATCAGTATTTTTTTTCCTTTGGAAGGAGTGTTTTAAAAAAATCATTGTTATTCATCTTGAGACTTTGTAATGACACAGATTATAAAACAGTAATGTATGAAAATTGTATTCTTGTACTTGCCTTATCTTCTAAATGCAATTTTAATAGACGAAGGTAAGCCACTGGTGCAAATGCATCTGCTGAATGCACAACCACTTCTGATAAATCCCTATAACATAAAATCATGAACATTTATTTCAAAAAACACACCTCAACTAGCTAGCACATTTATTTTGTAAAAGCATCAGTTTTCAAAATAGAGGATTGATAAAAACTATTTTAAATTATCTGATAATGTTTCAATTGATAAGACACTTACACAACAAAGTCAAAAGTCCATCTTGCAGTGATAGCTTTACTGGGCCAACCAAAAGACACAAAACATATCACATCAGCTTTCAAAGCTTCACATCTGAGACTTCAAAATGTCTTCTTCTTCAGCCATATGTCAGTCAAAATGACAAATAGAACACTATAACACAATAGAAAGGAAGTAGCTAACTATATTCAAGATAGGATGCACTTCCCTGGACCTTCTCCCAGGTCTCTGAGGATTTAGGGCAGGGGTCCTCAAACTTTTTAAACAGAGGGCCAGGTCACAGTCCATCAAACTGTTGGAGGGCCAGATTATAATTGGAAAAAAGCATGAATGAATTCCTATGCACACTGCACATGTCTTATTTGTAGTACAAAAACACTTAAACACAATACAATAATTAAAATGAAGAACAATTTTAACAAATATAAATTTATTAGTATTTCAATGGGAAATGTGGGCCTGCTTTTGGCTGACGAGATAGGATTGTTATTGTTGTATGCTTTCAAGTCTTTTCAGACTTGGGTTGACTCTGAGCGAGGGCCGGGTAAATGACCTTGGAGGGCCGTATCCGGCCCTCATGCCTTAGCTTGAGGACCACCAATTTAGGGCTTAATCCAGAATGAAATGGGTCTAGATAGTATTTTTCAAATCTGGTCACACTGGTGTGACACTGGTCTGGGTTGCTGTAAAAGGAAAGAGTAGTACAACTTTTCCTACCAGGAATATGTTCCTGGACTAATTGTGGAAATGTAAAACTACAGATAATAGTAAACCCTGTTGAACTGAAAGACTTCTGGTAGAAGCTTACCATAGAATCTCATTGGAGGACCTATAAAATTCCTGAAAACAACTTTTTTTACATATAAAATTACAGGTACCAGTCCCACAGATACAGGGATTGAACTATAGGTTTTAGACCAATGCATTTTGTTAGTCTTTGGGATGCTATAAGACTTGCTTGTTGTTTTCATTATTCTATCCTGCACAAGTGTTATATTTGTATTGGATAAAAACACTTCCAATACAAACATCAATAACACACATCAGGTTGTGCATTACGGTTAGCAGCCTTAAAAACTAACTACAGCCTAATTCAGTACTATGCTGACTTTCTTTTAAAGAACAGCTGCCCAAAGAACTGGTTTTTCAAGTCTTCCAGAGTCAGCTTTGTAGATAGAAATAGGGATGCTGTGAGGAATGGAATCAGCCCTCCTAGGTCCCTTCTACCAGCATATGAATAAACTAATATATATTTAAATAAGCAAATATCAATAGTACCCCAGAATATTTACTATTTTTTGCAATAAGAACTTTTACATCACCCTTCAGTTCCATTTCTAAGGCTGTTCACGACAATAAAACCATTCCAATAAACATGCAAAAAGATGCTATGTAAGCACAAATCAAAAACAACAACACAAACATCAACAAAATTAATAATACAACAAGGGAGATGTATGGAAAACCAATTGGTGACATATCAAATAACAACCTTGTTACTAAGTCTCTCCAATGATGTATCACAACATTATGTACTTAAAACTACCTGAATTGAAGTGTATTCTCTTACTTTAAGTCAATGTCTCAAGCATGAGTCCCCCAGATATTTTGGATTTCAGTCCCCAGAACACCTTACATTTGACTGGGACTTCTGAAATGTGAAGTCCAGTAATATCTTGAGTACCAATTTTTGGAACACACTGCTTTAGGGAAATATTTCTTGGAAAAAACTGTCATGAAACTGAAACTGGATTCTGTGGCTGAGAGGGAAGATTCAGTCCTCATTTTTAGTCACTATGCTGTAACACCTTTGCACAATATTCTGCAGTGCCTTCTACCTAAGACATAAAGCCTCAACAGCTTTTATAGTTTGCCACAGTTTATACCAGGCCCTGCTATTTTACAGTATTATACAGATATAACCCTTAAGGGCACTTTCATCTGGCACACATTCAGCTCTGATCAGCTTTGTGGGAGGATAGCTTTCATGTCTGAAATATTCCAAATAATGTGGCCCTCAAACCATTTTGCCCAAGCATAGGCAACTGGGACGTTCCCAAGTGAGTAATTTAAGTTCTATAATCAAATCACCACCTTCACTTATTGGTCGGAAAGTGGTATGGAGCAGACACCGACAATGTTTTATTAGACAATCTGTAAACTCAGATGAAAGAGGAATAATAGCAGTCAAAATATCTCCTTTAATACATTCAGGCTAAGTTATTTACCATAATTGTACTGACAAATCTACATAGGGATAAAGAAATTTCCCACACCTCTACACATACATTTTAAGAATTTATGGCAAGGAAATAACCTACTCAGTGCAAATTGAACTGATTCAAAACATTAACATTCAAAAACATCCTTTAGTAATTCAAGCAAAATGTTTAGCATTATCATCCTAAGTTGCTAATGTTAAAATGGGAGGGAGATGTGAAGGAAAAGAGAGAGAGAGAGAGAAGGAGAGAGAGAGAAAAGGGAAACAGAGTTAATGGAACCCACAGGCTACTGATGTGGCAGTTTATCAAATGTAGCTGTAATGAAAGATAAATATTACAGGCAATTCGCACTTCATGAAAGGATAAAAGTGTCAGTGTGTAGGTACCAGTTTTACTGCAGGCCATAATCAGCAAGTAAACGAAAGTGCAAATGTCTAAAAAGTTTATAGCTTTCTATGAAGGCCTCGTCTTGTCAGGCATTGATTTAGGTTAGTGGAGGACTTTGCCAGTGTTAAACAAAGTGAGTGTTTGTGAACTTAGAGGACATGTTCTGCCGCTGCCGCCAACAGATGTGGCCTCAAGCTAAACGTTAATATGTTCCCAGTGCTAAAATTTAAAGGACAGGAAAGGCACAGTTCCTTACACAACTATTTTCTTCTTAAACAGAGGGCAGTCCAATGTGAATGTTTCATATTCTCCGCCTTCTCCACAGATATGGACACCATACTTCTTCGAAAGCTGAAAAATGGACAAAAAAGTTATCAAGAAAAGCACTATTACATAGTGAGAAACATGTACTCATGTCTAGTACTCAGGTTTATCCTAAAAGAGTAATGTAACATCTTAAATTTTGCACAAGCTTAAACATATGGAAGTTTACTGGGATGTGAATGCCACTGTGTTCAGTCAGGCTGCCTCACAAGTAAGTGTGCTTAGAACAAGAGCCACTGAACCTTGTATGGACCTTTTTCAAATTCAACAGTTGAGACACCTGGTCTTTCATAATACTGTATTTCTGCAAAACACAAATACAATAGCTGACAATTATTATTATTTTTTGCTTTGCTTCTTGCAAACCATAGTCTAAATTACTACAGAGCTTGTCCTAACCATCTACAAGTTAGCTCATCATTGAATTTCCACCAATACCAGCAAGTTAATTTACATCGATTTCATACGACAGTTTGTATGAGTGAAAATGTACTGTGTATTGTTATGAGCTGTGCTTGATAAAGATGACTTGTAAATTAACTTTTAGTCAGAGGGTTGTCGTCTGTCATATTCTAGTCAAGGGGCAGGTAGGGGAATGTTATCTCCTGGATTCTTGGCCATCTTGGAAGAAGATAAGCCTCATTTTAAAAGTCAAAGCTAGAATTTTCCTATGGAATCCCACACTTTACCCCCACCCCATCCCAAATCTCGACTGACAAGGAAGGAAATGGCCCCATTGTTGCATTGAAGAAAGCTTAAATCAGTGCTTAAATATCTTGCTTACTACTAAATGGGAGATCTTGCTAATCTGGTACGCGAATACTTGCCTATACTTGAATGTCCCATGTAGTAACGCTACTGCATCCTCAGATGACCAATGAAGAGTCATTAGGAGGCATTATCAGACTAAGAGAAGACACATTCGTATCTGCCTCTTCGCACACAGAGCCTTTTGTCTGCACCCATCAATTCAAGCACATGGAGCCTTTTCCTTTGAACTCCCAAAAAGACAACATTAAAGCCATGTTTTACCCCACCCAGAGATGTTTCCCTCACTCCAAATGATGGCACTCCAGGTTAAATATAGGCAGAAGGGCAAAATGAGGAAGATCTTCCAGCACAGAGAGAGATTTCAGAGGGAGAGCCCCCAGAGATCTTCCACCAGACTCTTAAGAGAGATTTCCACAGAGGCAACATAGAAACGAAGAGAAATCTCAGAAAATCAAGACCGATTTCCATAGTATCAAAGCAAAGGCAGAGATTCCAGAGAGAGATCCCACAGAAGAATTTCCACAGACACAAGAGCAGCAGAAATCGCCAAAGTCCTTTCACCCAGAACCTGCTTCCTGCATTATTTGGACTTTTTAAACATCAGAGGGTGGGAAAACCCATGTGTGTGTTAGTCCAAAGCTGTTATACTCACAGCCTCTTAGATATAGTTAGAAATAGGTTTTTAAAACACCTTTTTGGTCTTCTTAATAAATAAATAATTATTTTGCTTTACTCTACTTCTTTCCCTTTCGAAAAACCCACTTTTGAGATAACTGGGGTGGGGGGAGATAACACATTCCACATAGGCCCCCACAACTATGTGTTGAGCCAAATGGTATGAGTCAAAGAAAGCAGTCAACATGGCACAGCAAAAGTGGCAGCACACCATGGCATTTGAATGAAGTAACAAATACATATGAACTTAGTACCTTTATTGGAATCCCAATCACATTTTAAAATTTATCAGCTTGACTGAGCTGGAATATTTAAGAAGGCTCTTTTGTTTTCATTCTCCTTCAACCTTTTACTTTAGGGAAATATATATAGTTCAAATGAAGATGTTATCTGTCATATAATTAAATCATGTCTGTTTACCCATTTTGGATGGTAAACTGAAATCTTTTTTTCAAATAAAGATCGAATTATCTTTTCCAGGCCTATGTTATCAGACATTTTCCTTTTAATGAGAGAATATCTCTTTGTCTAAAAATAACCAAACATTCACTTAATCAAGCTTTCACTTCCAAAGCTCACACTGCTGACATAAAAGATAGCTCCACCTGTCAGGAGCTGCTGTAAGGTTCTTGTAGGACAAATCCATCAAGAATAATTAATGCTGATGCAATAAGAATGGACAACTTACAAAACAGTTAGTCAAAACAGCTTATTCTTCTTCCTGCCAAAAACTACTGCTGAAAAGCTGTTTGAATACAGAGATGCTGCCAGGTATAAACAGCTACAAAATGCACCTATATTTGGAACAATGGAATATTTGCCTGCTTTTTCTTATTAATATCCACATTAAGTGCCTCACACTAAAAAAGAAATAACTGTTTATATATTTCCTAAAATTGATTGTTATAATACTGAGTCTTTGGTGCCACAAATCCTTCCTGGACATGAAGATCAAACACTTCAGAGTTCCCAGTAGTGTCCTTTTTGCCATTCTGGAATAGCTCAGCTTCCTGTATAAGTAAGTGTTTCTTTAGAGTTTGCCTTTCAACTGTTGGGTGTGCTCTCACATGGACATATTTTTGGATCTTAATTGAAGTTTTTAAATTGGGGCAAAATCTCTTGTAGCTGCTTCAGGTTCACAGAAAATACACATGCTATCTCTTTCTGCATACGTCTTTTTTTTAAAAAAAAAGATACTGAGAGATCCATCTTTAAAACGAATCTGGAAGATATAGGCTCTTTCAAACTAACTGCATTAACTAGGTTAATCTGCATCAGGATTTAGGATTATATCCAACTGACTCCATAGAATTCTATGTGATTCATTGATGTTGCTCTGGCACCATGAGATGAAGACCTAATCTTAAGATGGGGCCACAAAGTGGAATCTATGACATGCGAGTGTGGAGAAGAGCAAACCACTTACTACAATGCAACCTGAGTACTGCCACGTGCATAATGGAAGCCTTTCTCACAGTGACACCAGAAGCACTCCAAGTGGCCAGCTACTGGTCAAAGGAACTTAAAATAATGACAACTTTTTAAACTTAGTGGTTTTAAAATTCACTGTATCCTTGATTCGCTTCTGATACGTTAAATAAATAAATAAATAAGCTATGTCACTTAAGAAAAAAAATGTGCTTTATTATTTATTTATTTATTTATTTATTTATTTACAGCATTTATATTCCACCCTTCTCACCCCGCAGGGTACTCAGGGCGGATTACAATGTACACATATATGGCAAACATTCGATGCCAATTAGACATACAACGTATATAGACATACACAGAGGCTATTTAACTTTTTCTGGCTATTATTATTATTATTATTATTATTATTATTATTATTTATTAACTTTATTTGTACCCCGCTAGCATCTCCCGAAGGACTCGATCCGGCTTACAAAGGCCAAGGCCACAAAACACAACACAAACAATATAACACCAAAAGCAAAATTAAAAACAGTTAAAGCAATATTGACGACATGCAATAGACAGTATATCAAGACACAATAAAAATTGGGCCGGGCCAGAGTAATGGGTACAGGATTAAAAGTGCTGATGTGGCAGGAGTTATGTAGGATTATAGGGCAAGTGCAGTGTGCAGTGTGCAATAATCTTAGTTCTACTAAAAGTGCTTCGAGGACTTGTTATTGGAGATTTCCTATTCTGGAAAGGCACATCGGAACAGCCAGGTCTTCAAGTTCTTTCTAAAGACTGCCAATGTAGGGGCCTATCTAAGATCTCTTGGGAGGGTGTTCCAGAGTCGGGGGGCCACCACAGAAAAGGCCCTGTCTCGTGTCCCCACCAGCCGCACTTGTGACGCAGGTGGAATCACGAGCAGGGCCTCACCAGATGACCAAAGTGAATGTGTGGGTTCATAGATGGAGATGCGGTCACTCAGGTAGGATGGTCCCAAACCGTTTAGGGCTTTGTAGGTAAGCACCTGCACCTTGAACTGGGCTCGGAAAATAAATGGCAGCCAGTGGAGCTCCTTGAACAGGAGGGTTGACCTCTCTCTGTAAGGAGCCCCAGTTAGCATTCTGGCTGCTGCCCGTTGGACCAGTTGGAATTTCCGAGCCGTTTTCAAGGGCAGCCCCACGTAGAGCACATTACAGTAATCCAATCTAGAGGTGACCAAGGCATGGACCACCCCGGCCAGATCAGCCTTCACGAGGTACGGTCGCAGTTGGCGCACGAGTCTCAATTGTGCAAAAGCTCTCCCAGACACCGCCGACGCCTGAGCCTCAAGCGTGAGCGATGAATCCAAGAGGACTCCCAAACTGCGGACCTGTGCTTTCAAGGGGAGTGTAACCCCGTCCAACACAGGTTGCCACCCTATACCCCGATCCGGTTTGCGATCGACCAGGAGGACCTCTGTCTTGTCAGGATTGATCTTCAGGTTGTTCCTCCTCATCCAGATCGACACAGCGGCCAAGCACCCGTCCAGCACTCGAGGAGCTTCCTTGGAATTAGGTGGAAAAGAGTAGTAGAGTTGTGTGTCATCTGCGTAGAGATGGCACCTAACTCCAAAACTCCGGATGACCTCTCCCAGCGGTTTCATGTAGATGTTAAAAAGCATGGGAGATAAAATGGAGCCTTGCGGGACCCCACAGGTCAAGGGCCAGGGGTCCGAGCAGGCATCTCCCAGCTTCACCATCTGGGTTCGTCCCTCCAGGAAGGACCGGAGCCACGACAAAACCGTGCCCCCGAGACCCATCCCAGAGAGTCGACCCAGAAGGATACCATGATCGATGGTATCGAAAGCCGCTGAGATATCCAAGAGAACCAACAGAGTCACACTCCCCCTGTCCAGCTCTCTACGGAGGTCATCCACCAAGGCGACCAAGGCTGTCTCGGTGCCGTGGCCAGGCCTGAAGCCAGACTGTGACTGATCTAGGTAGTTGATGTCATCTAGAAAGCCCTGGAGCTGGGAGGCGACCACCCGCTCCAGCACCTTACCCAAAAAAGGGAGGTTGGAGATCGGTCTGTAATTGCTCAGCACCGTGGAGTCAAGGGAAACCTTCTTAAGGAGTGGCCAAACCACAGCCTGTTTCAGATTGGATGGAAAAATCCCT